CCCCCCGGGCACAGGGCAGGGGTGGGAGCAGGGTGAGGACATCGGCTTCCAGGGAGCTGCTTCCCTCTCTGCCCATGCATCCACCAGTATCATGGCCATGAGACTTAATTTAGGACCAAAGGAGTGGCCGGGGTGCAGCAGCCGTGTCCAGCGCAGCTTTCCCGTCCTCCCCCAGCTCAGCAGCACATACGGCCCCGTCTTCACCATCTGGCTGGGGCTGAAGCCAGCGGTGGTGCTCTGCGGGTACAAGGCGGTGAAGGATGCTCTCCTGGGCCTCTCTGAGGAGTTTGGAGGAAGACCTGAGATACCCGCCCTGGTGCAGCTATCGAAAAACTACGGTAGGTGTCTGGATTGCTCTCTGGATGAGCAGAAAGTCCCTGACTGCAGTTGGCCATGCTCATGTATAGCGAAGGACTCACTACCCAAGACCTCAAATACTCATTTCCCACTCTGCAAGTCCCTCCATCTACTAAGCCTCTTGTCCGAGGACAATATTAACTCCTGTTAGCCACCAGTACAGGCTTTGAACTGTCTTCTGAGCTTCTGTAGAGATCCTCAGCACTCAAGGACACTGTGCCCACACCAGGGTCATTCCCTGGCTCAGGGTCATTCCCTGGCTCAGTGTCCTGCTGCTCCTCAGCTGGCCTCACAGCTGGGTCCCCCGTTCCCGACGGGCAGGTGAGTGGTCTCGGCTGCTTCCCTCCAGGTTTTGTCTCCAACAACAAGAAGAAGTGGCAGGAGCTGCGGAGGTTCACGCTCAGCACCCTGCGGGACTTCGGGATGGGGAAGAGCTCCATGTCACAGCGGGTGCAGCAGGAGGCCCAGCATCTGGTGGAACTGCTGGCAAAACTTGAAGGTGATGTGGGTCCTGTCCACCCTGGTCCCCGGGGCAGGCAAAGGACACACAACAGCCTCACGGGACACGTGTGGTCCCCAGAGTGTTTGCAATGGCTGGTGTGGATGATCCTTGTGGAGAAAGGGCTTAGACCCAGCCCCATCCCACCCACAGAGGGCAGGAGGAATGTGGTATGGTCATGGCTCAAAGCTCAGGGTGGCAGATCCTGCTCCTGAACTGGTGCAGGGGGTGGCAACCACCGAGGAACGTTTCAAGTCAAAAGAACATAAATAGGAAACTAAACAGCCTGGCATCAAGAATGCACAAATAAGATACTGTCCTGGTGACTCGAGGTCCTCCTTAATAGGGTGATGTCCCCGTCTCCAACAAAACTGAGCTGCTGCCAGTGCCACCACCTCTTCTGGGGCTTCCTGAATATCAGAGAAGATGGAAAAGCTCACCCGTACACTGGCTCTTCTGCCTCCGATGCACGGTGATGGCACGGGGCTGGTTGCTGCAGGGAGATGCTCTGCAGCCCCCCAGGTCCCCAGGCCACGTCAGCAGGAGCCCAAAGTTTCTAGAGACACCTCTGCTTTCCTCAGCCCCAACACTGGCGAGGTGTTTAGGAGCAGGGAGGTAGATGTAGGAGCCCACAGCTCGGGAGGACTCTTTGCTTTGGCCGTTAGACCTGGCAGATTCAACCAGGGCTCAGAGTTCAAAGGACAGGGGCTCGTAAGGGGGAGGAAGAGTGTTTTCTGTGCTGATAAAGCAGATAAACAACTGTTGACTTTTTGACACCTTTCTTGCCTCTTCTGTGGCTGCAGGAAATGCTTTTGAACCGATGATCGTGTTCAGACACGCCGTTGCCAATGTGATCTGCTCCGTCGTCTTCGGGAGCCGTTACAGCTACAGCGACACGGCCTTTCTGGAGCTACTGAACGTGATCGGGAATTATATCAGCTTCTTCCTCTCCCCCATCGCCATGGTAGGTGACCCTGCTGTGCTCAGCACCCTCACGTCCGACATGCTTGGGAGTCTGAGGGATGCTCCTTGGCTTTGGGTCACTCCTTGGCTCTGGTGGGACAGCTACAGGACAACATAGCTTTGAGGGAAGCGGGAGGCTCCATCCAGGCATCTGAGCCTGTCTATGCTTCCTCCATCCGCAGGTCTACAACACCTTTCCCAACATCATGCACCACCTCCCGGGGCCACACAGGAAAGCCCTGGCCAAGTGTGAGAAGCTGAAGGACTACATCCGAGAAAGAGTCGAGCTTCACAAGCTGACGCTGGATCCCAGCTGCCCTCGGGACTACATTGACTGTTTCCTCCTGAAAGCGGAGAAGGTAGAGGTGGTGCAAAGCGGGGCCAGGGCTGTCCTCCAGACCTGGCTGCAGCCTGGAAAATCACCCAGGTAACACTGAATCACCTCCTCACTGCATTCTTGCAGGAGAAGAGCAGCCCAGAGAACATGTACAGCGACGAAGACTTGGTCATGTCAGTATTCAACCTCTTTGGTGCTGGGACAGTGACCACTAGCAACACACTGGTCTTCTTCCTCTTGATCCTGGCAAAATACCCCCATATTCAAGGTAAGGGCAGCAAAATGTGACTGCTCCCTGTGCCTGAGGAGGTTCCCGTTTGTGGGGAGACCAAAATCATCCTACATGGGTCACCCAAGGGTGAGAGCCACCAGACACAGGCACACACAGGCCAGAGGGAACAGAGTATCTGCCTCCTTCTCTCCCGTGAGACATGCCTGGAACCTTCCTGATCCAGGGAGGTACGTGGACAGAGACCAATTTCTGGTCTCTACGAGGGGTTACGACAGGTGGCTCCCTCTCTGCTAGGTCATCCTTTGGCTCTAGGACAGGTACCCATGGAGGGCAGTGAGAACACACAGGGGTGGCTCTGTGCAGCAAGGACCGCAGCGCCATGCCCGCCTTCTCCCCAGCCAAGGTCCAAGAGGAGATCGATGCGGTGGTGGGCGCCGGCCGCGCTCCCAGCACGGAGGACAAGCTGAGGATGCCGTACACCAACGCGGTGATCCACGAGCTGCAGCGCTTCCACAAGACCCGCATCGAGAACTTCCCGCGGATGACGACACAGGACGTCTTGTTCAGGGGCCACACCATCCCCAAGGTGACACTGTGGCCCTGGGCCCCCTGTGGCCCTGAGGGGAGGGGTGGCAGTGGGGGCTTGAATGAGCTTTGCTCTAACCCTGGACTGTTTGCTCACTCCTGAAGCTCCCGGGTCTTTCCCAATCTTTGGTGGGGGGAAACAGCGATAACGTTTTAGTGGAGGAGCAGAGGGAGGTGAACACTGCTGCCACTTCTGCCCACACTCCCATGTCCCTGCCTGTCCTGGGAAAAACGTCTTTCCCCCAGGGAGATGTGCAAGGGTGCTGGGGCTTGGAGCCTGAGGTGGCCCCGGCGTGGTGCCAAGCCAGCCCCCACCTCCTCAGCAGAGCCAGGGACAGCCACCAGCTGGGCTTGACCTCAAGCATTTTGTACAACACCTGCCTTGAAAAAACACCTCCCTCCTTTGGACTTTGTGCAGCGAGAGGAGTTTTAACAGAAATCAATGGGAATAACTCAATAATTTCTGCCTCATGAGCAGCATGGAGACTGGCAGGACCACGGGGACAGTGGAGTCCCACGTTACTTGTCGCTGCCTGGCACAGAGCCATGGCTCCGGGCTGCCTCCCATGGGCATCTAGGTGGGCATTGGGGTGCACCCAGCCACCCCCGGGCCCCCTAGACACCCCTCACTTGCTCATCCAGCTCAGAACCCTGTGCCGTGGTACTGATGTCCCTCCTTGCTCCCCTGCCCCGTCTCTCTCCCGCAGGGCACCACTGTTATTCCTGTATTTTCTTCCGTGCATACGGATTCAACCCAGTGGGAGAACCCCAAAGAAGTCGACCCAGGCCACTTCTTGGATGAGAAGGGCGAGTTCAGGAAGCGCGAAGCCTTCATGGCTTTCTCAGCAGGTCAGTGCTCAGCCCTGCCCGCCGCCTTTGCTGGCACCCTGCCCGCAGCGGCCCCGCTCCAGGGACCACCAGCACGAACACCGGTTGGCACCAGTTATACCCTTTGTATGAGCTTTCTCGCTATCCTTTTATGCCTTTTTTTCCCCAAAATGCTGGATGAAGCGTCAGCCCGGTCTCACCCCGCTCTTTCCATGTCCCCAGGGAAGCGGATGTGCCCAGGAGAAGCCCTGGCCCGCATTGAGCTCTTCCTTTTCCTCACCACGCTGCTGCAGAGCTTCACCTTCCAGCTCGCCATCGAGTCCAAGGAGACGGATTTATTCTCCCTGTGGCTCGAAATAGAGAGGAGGGCGATACCGTGCAAGTTCTTCGCTGTTCGGCGCCTGGTGTCCTCTTAAGCAGAGAGCAGC